GGCTTTTTTGTAAGGGAATAAAATTCCGTAACGAACGTGTTAAAGTAGACTTAGGAAATATCCTTTGTATGTACAATGTGCCTACTTAGGTTGGCGCCATATGGAAAACTTTTTAGCGCATTTTCCAACGAAGTTGGGTGCGCTATTGGAGCCACTTTCGCTGCCCGTCCGTCTGTCCATCTGTCCGAAGCCTTAACTACTCCTACAGTTTTCAAGATATTTAGGTCGTTCTTTTTGCATTCGGTAGCGTATCGCTCTGGCACCCTGAGTCAAGGAAAATCTTGACGATTGAAATGGCAGGCTGCGCAATGTTAACTTTTTTATTTATTAATATATTTTGTTGAAATTTTAATCACAGATACTTGTAGTAAAGGCAAATATATCGCATATAGTAAAAATCAGATGTGCGCATGCGCAGATTGCGCAATGCCAACTTTCTTATTTATGGAGATATTTCTTTGAAATTTTAACCCAAGATTCTTATAGTAAAAGCAAACGTATTGCATATTGTAAATATCAGATTAATAAGTGCATGCGCAGAACGCGCAATATCAACTGCGCAGTAAGTGTCAACTTCCTTATTTATGAAGATATTTCTTTAAAATTTTAACCATATATGCCTCTAGTAATGAAAACCATAGCGCACATAGGTATGGCCTTTGGGGAAGTCGAGGGGGAAGTATTGATCAATTTATGGAAAATGGGCTGAAGTTACTCGCCTTAGGGCGAAAACCTTTTTACTTGTTTAATATATGTTTTACGAAAAAAGATTTTTTATAAATATATCTCCTGTAAGAACCATATTTTAGGGTAGTCCTTAATAACGAAAAAGTAAAATGTCAACGCAACCCCTATTTGATAAATGTGGCAAGCTGACTGGTCAAGTATGCGCGATTCTGCACATATGGGTGCAAGGGTCTTAAGGGATCGTGTTAAGGGAGTTAAGTTGCGTACGCGCTCTGATCACGATCGTATCATGGATGCTAAGTAGAGCATCGGACGTATTAGTGAGTTTGGCGTAATAGCCCTTTAATGTGAGTGTGTCCCACGTGCAGGTGGTGAGTGTCTCCTACGAGTAGGTGGTGAGTGTATTATGCAGGCCATCGTGCTGGTCGTGCATTGTTGTTGGGCTATGGTAAAACCCCTGGCAGATATTCGGATATATTCCTAGGCTTTTAGAGTGCATTATGTGCATGTGCCTATGACGCGGTCCCGCGGCTAGCTCCCGTTGATTATACCGCTGAGTGATCAACTCGCTCGAGTAGATCATGCTGTCGACCCAATACGAAACATAAAGGCCTCATTGTTAAGTTCGGGGGTGAGCTCGACGTGGATGTCGTTCCCAGGTAGGGCAATGTGACATAGATCGACGTTACTGATCTATTGGCCGAGGGTCCTAGTGAGAGGGCCAAGTCGGGATGTGTATCCTAAATAATACACGTGCGCGCGGGGTAACCTTTTCCCAAATAGGTATGAGCTCCATCTTAACCCTTCAGGAAGCCATCTCCAACGACGCATTCAACCCCAATCGCCAACCGGAGTGTTCGAAGATCCAGGAGAGCTTAGTGCCAGCTTGGGGCCAACGCCCCCCGGTGAGATACTTAATTAATTGGTGAGGATCGCGGTTAAGCAGTCGCGATATTTGTTTACATGACCCTTGAGCGCGGAAGACGACCAGTCAGACTGAATGCTGCCATGTTAACCCTTATGCGTTTCTAATGAAAGGTGAGTTTACAGTAGATTTGTCGCATCTTACTAATGAGTTCTGACCAACAATTAGCTCCCATTTAATTAGCGATTTCCCTTGTTTTTATATAAAATACCCCTCTTTACAATTCAGGCGTGGGGTCAGAATCCAAGCGCATTTTTGCATAGGATAGCGACAGTCTACGTAAACTTTCACCTCTGCGTATAAATTTGTAGTATTTTGCAATATTAATTCCCACCTTTCTTATATCCTTAAGAACATGTGTACCAATTTTCAAAGTGATTGGACGCTTCTAAACAAAGTTATGTTGCACATGGACAGACAGACAGACAGACATACAGCAGCAATACAAAATTATAATAACGGTTACATTCACCTCCATTGTATAAAAATTGCTGTATGTGTGTGGAGTATCAGCCTCCGCAATGTCCATTTTTACCACTACTGAACTAAGCGGTGGCGGAAGGGGGTTAAGAACATGTGTACCAATTTTCAAAGCGATTGGACGCTTCTAAACAAAGTTATGTTGCACATGGACAGACAAACAGACAGACATACAGCAGCAATACAAAATTATAATAACGGTTACATTCACCTCCATTGTATAAAAATTGCTGTATGTGTGTGGAGTATCAGCCTCCGCAATGTCCATTTTTACCACTACTGAACTAAGCGGTGGCGGAAGGGGGTTAAGAACATGTGTACCAATTTTCAAAGCGATTGGACGCTTCTAAACAAAGTTATGTTGCACATGGACAGACAAACAGACAGACATACAGCAGCAATACAAAATTATAATAACGGTTACATTCACCTCCATTGTATAAAAATTGCTGTATGTGTGCGGAGTATCAGCCTCCGCAATGTCAATTTTTACCACTACTTAACTAAGCGTTGGCGGAAGGGGGCCCGCTTTCCAGTTTCCAGAAAGATCATATTCGTTCAGCATAACAGTGCGTGCGACCATCAGTACAATCAAGAGGGCAAGCTATTTCACTTAGTTTTCCCGCGCAAAGTGGGTGTAAGCCTGTAAGGTGTATTTGTACGATAGTGTGTTATAAAAATGAACGGGTAAGTATCGTACTTTACATAGGTTTTTCAAGAAAATGTCAAATATGTACTGCAGTATTCGCTAATATAAATAGTATTGAATGTGATTTACATTATTTAAAGGCTCACCGTGTATAGTTACTGAAAAAAGGGTAAGTAATATCCTTTGTTGTAGTTCTCACACCGGTCTATACTTTGGTACTATTTATTTTGGCAAGTACGTACTTGATTTTTTGTAGAATTAGTAGGTAAAGAAACTTGGAAATTTAAACGACCAATTAATCATTACTAATAAACCACATAGAAAATGTAGTACGTCTTTCCGACTTGACCCATCTATGAAAATTTGGAACTTTCAAACATCTCTATAGTCCATATGTAATTTTGAAAATTGGCAAATTTACCTCTACAGAATTGAGATAATGGCGTTGTGATGTTTTCCTGAATTAAATTATTAGAAGCAGCAATTTTGAGATTTTTTTACTGAAATGCATGCGGTTATTAAAATCGAAAATTTACGCTTCCACATTCTCTAGTCATCTCTGAACCACACTTGGAGCCGGTTGTACAAAGGCAGTTTAAACCTCGTTTGGATTAATGCAGTGGATTGAGATATATGATGGGTTGAAATTTGACAAAACGTCAAACTTCAATCAATCTTATACCTTATACCACTGGTTAATTTTAAGCGAGATTTAACTGGCCTTTGTACCACTAGCCCTTAGTGCATTTCACTATATTTATATCCCTTTCCGCAAATTTTCGTTATCGTACAATACATTGTTTTCTTGGGTATCTAGATAATGCCCTTTGACTTTTTGCAATGAAATTATTACATAAATAATGGATTTTGAAATGTTCGTCATTTCTAGGGTATCAAATACGGAAAACGGAAATACAAGAATTTTCTCTGTTCTCGAAATATCATTCAAAACGTCCAGAAAACGCAATATCGGCCTATCGAAAATTTATCGCGATTACAACACAGACTTTCCTTTATACATACTTTGTATGTAGCCGGAAAGTAAAAATTGCCAAATTTGTTTTTTTTCGAAATATTTCATTTATTTTATTTCGCTTTTTTTTATATTATACGGTTTTCGAATTATTGTAGAAACCCGCACTTTTTGAATTAGAACATTTATATATTTTCTAACGCTTGAATTTTTTTTCAAAAATAAAAACGACAGTGCAAGTTTGCCAGTGCAAGTTTGCTATAACTATAAAACCGCGCAATATAGAAAATGCTAATAACATAGTCCAATATAATATTTTCGTATAAAGAACTTCTATTTTTGGTGTTATTCAAATATTTTTAAAAATAAATGAAATATCTTTAAATATGAGATTGGAGATTATTTGAAATTGCGCTGTTGTACCGCTATAGTCTGGGGTAGGTCAAAACAGCTAAGCGCAATAGCCCGTAGTGAAAATAAGGCTGCCCATGCAATCTTTTTGCCTTTGTTTATTATTTTTTATTGTAATTACAAGAAGATAACAAGCAGTTCCCGACATTATAATAATTATTTATGGAACGATTTCCACGAAATTTGGGTAGTAGGTCCTTCTAACAAATGCAAATTAAATTCATTTTTAAGAAATCGTCCTGCGCATGCGCAAAACTCAACTTTCTTATTATATTGAACGAAATTTTGAAGGTTAGGTCCCTCTAACAAAAACAAATAAAATGCATGCCCAAAACGCCATTTTTAAACCGAAGCGTCAAAATATGAATTTGACATTACAGTTTTGCAAACCCCTTTTGACAAGGGACAAAAATGTAATATGCTTAGTCGAAGTCTTATAAGCGCCAAAAATTAAATATCCGTTTCGCACCAAATCTCCCATTTCGGCGGGTGATACAAAAACGGCGTTGGTCGTAAAACGTTGTGATCGGTCGGAGCGAGCGAAGCGAGCTCCGGAACGATCTAGTTATCCACTAAATACTGAAGCAATTCTAATACCAATTAAATAGAAAACCCTCCCTTCAAGCAGAAATGTGACCCAATGAAGGGGTTGAAGAACCAAGTCTCTCATCATATCTCTTAAACATATACTATCACGATGAAATTTTACGTATTTGGTTAATGATCATTTGAGAATAAATAACCAACAAAGATTCCCAGGTGCACTTCCGTCCAGGGGGTTGAAATAGTCGCCCCTTTGTGAACCTGGGTATTTTTATTGATTATCTATTCTCGAATTATCATTAACAAACCACGAAAATTTGATCGTGACAGTATGTGCCGTTTTGGAGATATGATGAGAGGCGGCTTCTTCAACCGCTTCTTTGGCTCCCATTTCTGCTTGAAGGGAGGGTTATCTATTGAATTGTAATTAGAATTGTTTCAGTATTTCATAGAAAATGAACAAAAGAAAAAAACTTGTTTGGAAAGGCCTATTTTCACTTCGGGTACATTCGGAAATTTTGGTCGCTCTTTTTACACCGGTAGCGCAATCGGAGTTTCTTGAAAAAATACTAATGCTAGTGAAACAGGGAGAACGTGTTGATAAAGTTAACTGCAATAGCAAACCTCTCATGAATTAATTTACTTCAATTTTTTGCAGTTTAGAGAAACAATTAACTCGGGGAAGGAGACTGGTGTTATTAGCGACACAGGATCCAAAGGTCCCGAGCGAGAAACCTACAAATTTATCCGGTAAGAATGAGGTAAATACCTGCAGTTACAAAAAACTATTTCTTTGAACACATTTAGGTTCAAGTATTGCGCCTTCTATAGACTATTCTTTTTCGGATTTATCATCAATTGTGACTGATTCATATGTTGATCCTACTTACGACCATACGGTAAAAACTAGATGAATAATTTATTCATTTTGTTACATGCTTTATGTTTATTTCAGAAAGATGTAAGCGATGATAGTTCATCCTCAGCATCCTCTTCCTCATTACGATCGATACGATCTGTTACAATACCTATGCAAGAGCCTGTAATAGGTAATGCAGACAATCATGATAAGGTATTCCAGTGGTTGAATGTTTCTGAAAATCAAGTACGTTTATTTATACATTATACGTATATGCTGCACTTAATATTATAAGTAGAGTTACTCTATAATAGGGATCTATTATTAATTATAGATATTGTTAAATTATCGATTCAATTGAGAGTGACCCCTGCCATTTACCACACTTAATTTTGTATATAACGCCGGGATCGTAGAGTTATTTAATCAAATCATACTATTGATAACTGTAGTTGCCTTCTTGATCAGCTGTACCGACTTTTTATTAACGATCCTCTAGATCGTTTACAATTTTGTATTGCTGTCTGTCTGTCCGTCTGTCTGTCCGTCCGTCTGTCTGTCCGTGTGCACGATAACTTTGTGTAGAAACGTCCGATCGCTTTGCAAATTGATACACATGTTCTTCGGAATATACAGGGTGACAATTTGAAAACTTACCACCCCCCATATCTTAGTAAACAAACGAGATATTTAAAAAAATCAAAATCCGTTTCGGTAATTCGCAGGGGGAATCACAATGACATAGTTGGCGACGCACCCCCTCCAACCCCCTGCGCCCCAGCCACCCCAACTTTTAAATCTTAAATAGTGACCCCCCATGTGTGATACGTCGTTGGAAAGCTCTGAAAAAATGCTTTCCAACCATACCAAATAGCATTACATTTAGGTTAGTAATTATCGTGCAAATCAAAAAATAAACTAATATGATACATTTGAAATCTGTCGTATTTAAAACGCAACCGGCGAACATAGACGAACTAAGACAGAGAATAATTCAAGAATGTCAAAATATTGCAAAACCAACATTTGAAAAGGTTCGACAAGAGTTTGAGGATAGATTATAACTGGCGATCAAAAATGAGTTGCTATCGAGTCGGCTTTGGAAGTTCAAGTTAAATACGATTTTCCATGTTTATTTTTTGATTTGCACGATAATTACTAACCTAAATGTAATGCTATTTGGTATGGTTGGAAAGCATTTTTTCAGAGCTTTCCAACGACGTATCACACATGGGGGGTCACTATTTAAGATTTAAAAGTTGGGGTGGCTGGGGCGCAGGGGGTTGGAGGGGGTGCGTCGCCAACTATGTCATTGTGATTCCCCCTCCGAATTACCGAAACGGATTTTGATTTTTTTAAATATCTCGTTTATTTACTAAGATATGGGGGGTGGTAAGTTTTCAAATTGTCACCCTGTATGAAAGGTCGGTATTGGCTACGTAGACTAACGGACCAAAAAGTTACCGCCCAAAAACTGGCCAAACCTCCAAAAAGGGTTTCTCTTATAACTCTTGTTACAAAGAACATATAGGCCAGTAAATGACCGTTTTGCCTTGTAATTTTTCGCGCCTCGACGGATTTGCTTCAAAATTTGGATTTAGGTTCCTCTTACTCTCTACTTCAAAGGTGAACTTGAGTCCAGGGTTGCTTTTACTTGGGGAGTGAATGCCACCCCTTCTCGGGGGGGAAAATACGTTCAAAATAAATCCGGAAATTGATAAATTGAGTAATTCTAAGCAACTTTTGTTCTATAGAGTTTTTTCACTAAGTCAATAGTATTAGAGTTATTTGCGAGTGAAAATGATCAGTTTCACCGGAGCAAAGTGGTTAGTTTTGAAAAAAATGTCGTTTTGAGGTAAAAAAAATTTTGAAATTTTGAAAAATTGCCTACTGTAGTAAACTAAACTAATACACTAATAATTATTTGGCAAAAAAAGGCAATTTTTCAAAATTTCAAAATTTTTTTTTACCTCAAAACTACATTTTTTTCAAAACTAACCACTTTGCTCCGGTCAATCTTACAGATCATATCAACCATACATAAATAAAGTAAACTGTAAAGCGGTAACGCTTAATTACAATTAGGGTGCTAATTAGGGGGTGATTTCCTCAATTTTTTTTACCAAAAAAAAAGGACTAACTTTATTTTGAGCGTAACTCACTTAGTTTTGATGCTAGGAACTTTTCTTAAAAACAAAATGAAAGGTTTTTTCAAACACTTTAAAAAAGTATTCATAAGTTTTCCTCGAAAAGTGCTTCATTTTTTGGTTATTTCACGTTGAAGTACTCGGTTTGGAATTTGACGAATGAGAACCTACTTTTCATGAGCTACAACTTTGTTTTTACTGGGTCTACAGACTTCATATATAGACCATTTTGTTTGTTTTTTTATAAGCTATATTTTTGCTAAGAATACTTTATTCGATACAATACTTACTTTTAGAGTTGTTTGTGAAAAACCGTCTGAAAACGTGGTTTTTTTTGTTGAATAATGAACATTTTCACTTGCAAATAACTCTAATACTATTGACTTACTGAAAAAACTCTATAGAACAAAAGTTGCTTAGAATTACTCAATTTATCAATTTCCGGACTTATTTTGAACGTATCTTTTTCCCCCCGAGAAGGGGTGGCATTCACCCCCCAAGTAAAAGCAACCCTGGACTCAAGTTCAACTTTGAAGTGGATGGTAAGTATAGTCCATCCGTTATTGCTATTCCGATATGTAATTAACCCCACTAACTGCAGCGTTAACTTTTTTTTCTTCACGTCGTCGATTTAATATAAATAATTCTCTCAAACAAACTGCAACGCGTTATTGTTGACGTGCAGAATAAGAATGAACGTAAGGTATCGCAACGGTTAAGCGATTTTAGCTCGTATCGCTTACGTTAAAGAATGTTTATTGAAGTGAATTTCGCTTGCATGGCATGGCAACGAGTAGGCGTAAACAACATTGCTGTAAAGAAAAACTGGATCCAAGCGAAATTCAGTTCAATTAATATTATTTGAAATAAGCAGTACGATCTAGAATCGATTAACCGTTTCGGATGCGTACTTTGTTCATTCTTATTCTGCACGTCAACAATAGCGCATCGCAGTTTGTTTGAGAGAATTATTTATATTAAATCGACAACGTGAGGTAAAAAAAGTTAACGCTGCATTTAGTGGGGCTAATTACATATCGGAACAGTAATAAGAAATAGACTATAGAACCTAAATTCAAATTTTCATGCGATTCGGTGGAGACGCGGAAAATAATACAGTATCGCCGTATTCCACGTTCATTTACTGGCCTAATATGAATGTCCGGATTTCTGTGTTGATTTCTTAAACTTCAGGCAACTATGCAGATGCAAAAAAATATTGCGCATGCGCATTACAACTTTTATATTGCCGCAATCCCAATTTTTTCATTTGTTATGATATTTAATGGAAATTTTGTATGTAGGTAGGCACCTCGAATAAAAGTAAAACTAGTGCCGAATCAAAAAATTTGTTTTGCGCATGCGCAATCCGATTTTTTTACATCTCCGTTAGTTGTGAACCGAATTGCATGAAATTTTGTATGTAGGCACCTCAAATAAAAGTAAAACTAGAGCCGAATCAAAAAAATTGTTTTGGGCATGCACAGTCGTTTTTTTGTTAAGATATTTAGATGAAATTTTGTATGTAGGCACCTCGAATAAATGTAAAACTAGTGCCGAATCTAAAAATTTGTTTTGCGCATGCAAACTAGTGCCGATCTGGTTGGACAGAATCAACCCCTTATTGTAAAAATGATGTATGTGTGAAGATCTTGAGGATCGTTCGGTATTCAGTTGTATCGGATCTATTGTTATTGTTGTGGCGTATTCGTGTTGATGTATTTCATTTGAGATTAGGTAGTTTTTGATGACATGATGCTATCGGCGGCAATTGCATCAGATGATTCAGTTTCAGTAATGTTTATTTTGGCGGATACGGTATAATCAGTGTCATTATTAAGAGGGGAGTACCGTAAAGCGTGAGTCTACACTCAAGATATTACAGATACCTGCAAGAAAATGGCACCTTAAAACGCGATGTCACACACGCAAATTTTCATTTCCTTTTATTTTATTTGCGAATTTGTTTCCAACCAAAAAATAGATACTGCATACTAGGATAATCAAAGAATTAGGTATTAAAGAAACCGCAAAGTGGTCCCCCAGCAACATCATGTTGAAGGCGAAGGCTCGATGATTTCTGTGATAGCTAATACTGTATGGTTTAAATCTCACATTCATGCATCTGTTTTTTTAGCAACAAGAGGAACATGCATCCAATGCCGATGAATCAAGTTCATTACAAACAGTATCTAATGCTTCATCAGCCCGTGCAATTCATATAATTTCCGATGTACAACTCAAAAAGGTAGTTTTCCTATCGTTTTAAATATATTTAATTTTCCTTTGCTACTAATTACTACGAATTTTGTGTCGCCATCCTTAATCTAACCTATCTCCGATAGTTCGAATTCAATTTTATACTCGTTATAGCCAAATTCAAGGCCAGGCGATAAACTCGAAAAGAGTGATGAAAATTCATTTCAACCAATAAGTGAGGTGTTCCCTCAGGACTTAGAAGTCCCTTCCAACTCACAGTCAGTAAAGGTAATTTTAGAATTTTCTGAAGTACATCCTTTGGTAATTTTTCTCTTTCCATAGGCCACATTGCATAAACTGCGGTGGAAAAAGAAAAAGACATATTGCAAGTTTTGTAACGAATCCGTTACAAACTTTGAGCGTCACTTACAAAGGAATCACGCAGAATGCAAGGAAGTTATAGAGTTCCTCAGTTTTCCAAAGAGAAGTCAGGAAAGAAAGACAATAATTACGTTACTGCGAAATTCTGGGCATTTTGACGAATTTTTAAGAGGAAACGTTCTACCTGTATATAGAGGAAATATTAGTAAGTCTTTGGAATACTATCCATGTTCACATTGCAAAGGTGTATTTGCAAAAACTTACCTAAGCCGTCATACTAGAAAATGTGTAATTAAAGGGATTACTGATGGTTTAGGACGCAAGAAGCATCTAGCAAAATCTCAAACCTTAATCGCGTGTTCATTACAAAGAAATTCAAATATTCAAAAACTTAGGGTAGTAGAAGAAGTTTTTAATATAATGAAAGTGGACGAAATATCTTTGGTAGCAAAGACTGACGTATTAATCGCCCAATTTGGGGAAAATTATTTAAAAAAACATAAGAGGCAACAGATGGCTACAGTTTGTTCTAATAAAATACGCGAACTCGCGAGATTTTTGATACAATTTAGGGAGATTACTAACAATAGTAGTTGTAGTCTAATGGATACCCTTAACCCAGTTTTCTTTGATACTGTGATTGAATGTGCCAAAAAACTGGGAGGTTATGATCCAGTTACTAAAATGTATCGTGCTCCTAGTCTGTCTACACACATAGGAACTTCATTGAAACAATCAAGTGAGATACTAATCCGATTATTATTAAAAGAAGATGCTTCCGTGAAATGTAACGATAAAGAAAAAAAAATTAAAGAAATAAAAAGATTTAAAGATTTAATTAATAGTCAATGGACTACAGAAATTGCCAGTCTTGCTATCAAAAACCTGAATGAGAAAAAATGGGAAAAACCAACAATTTTACCTTTAACTCGTGACATATTAAAGTTTAAGGAATTCCTTATAACTGTTGCTAATCGCTCGGTTGCTACGCTAAGAGAAAACTCAAATAATGTGAAAGCCTTTAAAGAGCTTGTGGAAGCTTCCCTAGCGCTAACAGTTCTTTACAATAGAAGGCGCATTGGTGACGTGCAGTATGCTACATTGCAGAATTACACATCCAATTTTAGCACCATAAATCAGGAAGAATGCATTAGCGCGCTCTCCGAGTCTGAAAAGGTTCTAACCAAACATTATAAAAGGATAGTAACAGGTGGAAAAGGCAGTAGGGCAGTAGTTATTTTGTTTCCTATACAAATTCGGGAGTACATTGATTTAATCATAGATACACGGAATAAAACTAATTACGTTCCCGACAAAAATCCATACCTGTTCTGTTGCCCTGATTCCCTAAAGTGGGTAAGGGCTGATACTGCGATCAGAAAATTTGCATTGAAAGCCAAGTTAGAGCAACCTCAGCACATTTCCTCCAATAAATTGCGTAAACAAATAGCAACGGTGATGCAAATACTAAACATGAACAAAGAAGAAACCGAGCAGTTTGCTCAATTCATGGGTCACACAGAAAAAACCCACAATGAGTTTTACAAGTAAGTCATTCAACGGTTTTTCCTACCGCTCCCTTAAAATATCATATCGAGTGCGCAACAAAATTTTGATTCAGAGTTGGCCCTGAGGAAGATATACTAACGTGTCGGTCATTTTAAGTGACGGCAGTTTTACTGCACACGTAGGTAATACCATAGTGGTAATACCTACCTACTTAAAAGTAATATTAGACATGACCTAAAATTTCCACGTCCTTCTCTGAATCAAAATTTTGTTGCTCATCAATGTAATGTAATGTAATGACATGAAAATTATGCATTTCGTTCACTAGTTGAGAATATCACTTGGTTTCTTACTGGGAGTCGTAGGAAAAATGATTCTCTTGATCGCAACCTTTCACACCTGTGTGGTATTGCTCATGTACGCTATTGCTTTCAACACTGGTTTTTAATAGACCTATACCATATTATCGTACGTGTTTACAGATTACCACAAGATGTCTATCAAACAGCAAAAATTTCTAAACTTCTTATCATGATGGACAAAGGTACTGGCAAAAAATATAAAGGAAAATCACTGGACGAAATACAAATCGATCCTGACACAGAGTTGGCAGAACTTGGGAATTCTGACTCTGAAGATGAAGCAGTGCCTACTACTAAAGACGTTCTATTAGAAGAAAATCTGTTGAGTAATACATCACCTCGTAAGGAAAATAATATTGCAATTGAGAGCACTTCAAAAAAAAGTAACAAAAATTTCTATTAAAAGTACTTATTCTAGCTAACGACGTCTTTTAGGTGGTGGACGTGGTCGCTGGAGTGCTGAACAAAAATCAGTTGTCACGCAGTATTTTAAAGGACATATAAAATCAAAGAAAGCTCCGAAAAAAGAAGAGTGCGAGAAGCTAAAGAAACTCCATGGGTTGCTTAAAGATAAGGATTGGGTACAAATTAAAACTTTAGTTTACAACTCATATAGATAAGTACTACTGTCATACGCAGAGTTGGACTGGGTCACGTCATACTCTCTTCAGTTAGACCCAGCGACCCAATTTCACCCGGGGACCCAATTTGACCCAGTAACCTAGTTTGATCGAATAACGCAGTTAAGTCAGTGACCTCGGTTCAAGTGTACAGATTATGAAATAAATTAAACTTAATGCTGGTTTGTTGAAAATAATACTCGATTACTTGACAACTGCCATTTCTGTGATGTTTGCTTTAATACTGCCGTAAAAAACTTTATTTGTTACTCAGTTGTAAACGTTGATTAACAAGACAAAACGCAAACGGGTAAACGTCATCTTTAAACGCTACTGATGTAAAACTGACAGCTGACTTGTAAAAATTTTACAAGTTAGTAATCTAGTAATTTCATTGGCCAGAATTAATGCGAAGTCTCTGTTACATCGATAATATGATATTTTAGACATTTCTTCGAGATCAATTTAAGAACTAATTATTTACGTTTACAAATGAGTAACAAATAAAATATTGTACATTATACGCCAGGTAATAGTTTTTACTGGCTCTAGGAGATGACAGGCTCGCCAATCAACTTCTCCTATCGCCAGTAAAAACTCACTTACCTGGCTAATAATGTAAAATACTATTCCATGTCCCGAATTGTATTATAGTAATGTTATTTCTGAACAATTCCCTCCTTAATTTCTTTGCTTCAGGGCTTACCAGTTGCTTACTGGTGTTCATTCACATTTAATTTTCTTCTACTAGTTAGCTTAATCCAAATAAATCTTTTCTCTAAATACTTTCATTGACTACTTGACTACAAAACTATAAACAAATGCTATTGATTTTTTAGGTATTAGTTCTCTTGAATGAAATTCGGCTACGTGCTTGTTGGCGAATATTATTGAGGAAGTTTTTTTTTTAATTAAAAGTTACTTGAAATTGTTTTGGATGCCAAAATGTAAATACCAATACAAACCGAATGCTATAAATTTGAATACAAATTAACCTTAAGACCTATGGGTCAACGGTTTAAACTGGGCCGCCGGGTCAAGATGGGTCACCGGGTAAAGCTGGTTCACCGGGTCAAGCTGTGCCACAGGGTCAAACTGGGTCACTGAGTCACCGGGTCAGTAAACTAACTGGGTCACTCTATGCTTGACCCAGTCCAACTCTGGTCATACGTACTTAATGTGAATATTATTAATCTGTTTATTGTGACTCATAATACTCATCAATATACAAACTGAAACTGCTTACTTATTTTATACAACAATGGATATTATAAACGAAGTTCATGAGTACATTGTTGGCAAAGAATTTCTCTGAAAAGAAATAATTATTTATTTTTTTACATACCTCCTACCTTCAAAGAGCCCTTTCGTATAGATAAAAAGTAAAACAAAAACCCCAATAAACCAAAAGAATATATTGAAAAACCGTACGCGTATCTATTCAAGTTCAATGCGAAAGTAGTTCCAGTGAATCCAGTTCGTATACAGGGTGATGCACGGTAAGTATAGGATCATACCAAGGGATTTAACATGGGAAATTAGTTTTATGCAATAACCTGCCCTCCTGTACATTTTACAGAAAAAAAACTGTAGTTTTTCAGAATTAAAAGGTGCATACAAAACTGTTTTTACATGTTTTATTAAGCTTTTGGTATATCCGCAAATTTAAAAATAAGTTTCAACATTTCTGTTATTAGTAGCAATAGCCATGACTATTGTTGTTTTATGAAAAATGCGTTAAATGCCAATGTTTGAAGTTTATTAGCGCCAATCTAACTTAAATTAAATTAAATCAAACATGTAAAAACAGTTTTGTATGCACCTTTTAATTCTGAACAACTTTAAACTCTACAGTTTTTTCTGTAAAATGTACAGGAGGGCAGGATATTGTATAAAACTAATTTCCCTCCCTAATTTCCCCTAACATCCCTTGGTATGTTCCTACTTACCGTGCACCACCCGGTAGATGTTTTGTTGTACAATTTGACCTTGAAAAAGACGGTACCTACCTTATTGGATATAATACAAAATCCTACCTACCTTCTTTGTATTCATTCTTAGAAAAGCAAGTAGTTGTTAGTTAATGGGTTGCTGCCCATTTCCTGGACTGACTTTGAACCCTTAAAAGTACCGCTTGAGTTATGTAACATCTGGGTTGCCACTAGGGAATGCAATCCGGCAGCAAAATCTCAATCCCGATATTTGCGGGATTGTTAGATGTTGATCCCGCGGGATCCCGCAAAACTTTAAATAAATTGGCAAATAAGCAATTCTCTGCGGTTAACTTCTGTATTAAAATAAATCGCTAATTATCACAATATTTAACAAAAAAGTACCTTCAGCTTAACTTAGAGCTCAAAAAAACCTCACCTGTAAAGCACAAAAAGATGAACTTCTAAAGTGCCTCTAAATCATAGTACATTTTTAACAAAAAAAATTTAACAATAGTCAATATTATTTAAAAAATAACTTCTCCGTTATGCATTTCATTAACAAAGTAAACAGAGTCGTCCCCTTGACGTCCGTGAAGTTGGCACCGCCCATTGTTCATATTAATATTATTTTTCTATTTCGGTGTCACAATGATGATTTTGTACTGTTTTCGGCCGAAACACGTGTATAATTGGTCTTTAAAGCACTTGCAACGTTAAAGGCACTCCGCTTTGCGTCGTGCCCTTAAACTCGTTGCGCGTGCTTTAAAGATTTGATTATACACTTGTATCTTAATATACTATTTTTAATTAAATTAAAGCACCGAAATAGAAAAAATAGTATGAAAAACACGTGTTACAATGCTTTATTGTAATACTCCTATCTTGCGGACACTCGTGGCTACGCTTCGCGTCGCCACTCGTGCCACAAGATAGTCGTATTACAATAGGTCGCATTGTAACACTTGTCTTTCAATATACTATTGTATGCACATCGTTTGTTTAACTATTTTCATAGTTTGTTTGCATTTCCGTATATGTCTTTTTTAAAAATTCAAAATGGGCGAGCTAACTTCACGGTGGCTCGCCCAAAATCATAATTTTGTTTGTTTATCAATGCAGGTCGTTTGTTTATCGTTTGTTTACGTTTGTTTAACTATTTTCATAGTTTGTTTGCATTTCCGTATATGTCTTTTTTAAAAATTCCAAATGGGGGAACTGACTTCACGGTGCGTCTGACCCAAAATCATATGTTGCAGGTCATTTCGTCTGTGGGCGCGTGAACTTTACTGTCATTTTATTATTTTTCATCGCAATATGCATCTTTTTAAAAAATGTTAAATGAACAATTAACAGTGGTGGGGCTAAAATTGGCTTATGAACCACTCTACAATTGTAGCAGTAACATACATGCAGTGGTTAGGTAAACGTAAAAGGCGCTAATAAATTAGTCACTGATCTTCAAACAATTCTCTAATTTTCATATTAAAATGTATGATGGTACTTAGAACAGCCTACCGTTTTAATATTAGTTGAGACAGAGATATATCTTTACATATTTGCCGGACGGGTTATGGTATTTTTAGAATGGATCGAGTCATCTATGAAACACTGTAAGCCAGTTGTAGGTACGTGTTCAGTTGATTGACATAATTGAAATACTTAATTGGGCAGTGTTTCAATTGTGACCAATAAAGTTATCTACAATGGAAATGCTACTGTTGTCAATATTGTACCACATTCTTACATCTAATTTAATGCGTTTTTCAATATTTACCTACTATAATCCTTTGGAGTTGCCCTCGGAAATAGTCTACAGTACCCTCGATAAACATGCTGGGTACTTGTTTCAGTACGCAGTATACGTTATAAAATGGCCTGTTTCTGGACTTATCTTCCGACTTACAATAGTTCACTTTTGGTACGAATGAAACGCCCTCGAGCACTTTTTGGAACGGCCGCTTGGTACTCGATACTGGAGCGTTTACTTAAAGTGCTCGGTGCTCGTGCTCATGAGCATTTTCCTTCGCTCGTGAGCGCTTTTAACCGCCCTCAAGCTCTGAAGGATTAAGCGCCGCTCGCGAGCGTTTTTTCGCTCACGAGCACTTTTCTCAAGCGCTCGCGATAAGTACCATCGTACATTTTAATATGAAAATTATAGAATTGTTTGAAGAACAGTGACTAATTTATTAGAGCCTTTTACGTTTACTTAATCACTGCATGTATGTTACTGCTATAATTATTGTAGGCCAACTTCACGGACGTGTCCCCTTGGTCAACAAATTCCTCAATCCTGCAAATCCCGCGGGATCCCGCTCAATTTATGTGCGGGATTAATCTCGCAAAAATGCTGCGGGATCCCGGTATTTCGGGATCCCGCGATCACGGTATTGCATTCCCTAGTTGCCACATTCCGATGTAGGTTTAAACGTAAGGGTGTGTTTGTAAATATTCACTTTATTGTTGGCATTGGCACTGAGCGTAACTTAATGAAACGGCATTAATAATATATATATATAAGTATCAGTATTTATTATTAATCCAATATACCTGGTATCAGTTTATGACGTAGATGTAATAGATAAATCAAATAATTTAAATTCATCTGCATCCACAACGACAGAATTTTTCGGTTCTTGGATTCCAAGTTCCACATCATCCTGCATTCAAAAGAACAAAATATGTAATTTTAGTTTTAATCGCCAAATCTGTCGGTACTTACCACTGCAAATGATGATCTCCTATACCCACCTATATCTGCTAAATTATTTCCACTTCTTCGTCGTCTGTCGCGGGCGGCTTTTTTCTTATTTTGCAGAAGGATGTACAATAGCATGCCCGTGCTACAGATTAAGAGGGCCGTAACAAAAATTGCCCACAAATGATAAATTATTTGTAGAGTAACTTCAAACTCCATTATGACAGACTAACTAGTTATAAGAAATTATGAAATATAGCTTTGTGAAATGCGCATGCCACCTGCGCGTTGTTTAATCACCCAATGGGCAGGTTATCTTTATACGGGAAAGCAACCGTCTAAGATGTTCATAAAGTTGAATTATGTTCCACTCAAAATAAACATTCTGATAAGAAGTTACAGTATACATTGTAGTAAGTTTCCATCAATAAATATTGTACTACCGAAATAAAGAATATTGTTTTTAAAACATCGGTAGAAAACGAGCTCCTAGTCATGGCTATAACATGACATTGCATAGGTATAATATAATATGGCTAAAGCTATGCCCATTTTTAAATTTTACGCAATTCGGTTCATAATCAACGGAGATCGATTTTGAATAAACATTCATCGTCAGATTCGAAATTGACCACCTTTAGAAAAAATATACGATGTCAATTTATTTATTCTACTGCATAATCTTCACAAACAATTAATGGAGCTATACATCAACAAAATGTAGTATCAGCCTTACCGTTAATTAAAATCTGTTTTGTTTTGCATTCCTTTGACCTAACAAAAATTACCTACAAAAATTTTGTTGAGTTAATTTTAATTATCATTATAGTCCAGTCAAATTAGCTCTAAAAGTAGTATAAACTGGATGTTGTCATTTCACTGAACGAAACCAAGCGTTTATGTAAAAAAATCCACTGAATCGGAAAATTATAGTTCCCCTGCCCGGAAACGCCCGGAACATATTGCTATAAACAAAAAACGAAGAAAAATGGGAAAATTTGGTGTTTTTTCACATTTGACTTCGAATATCTCGTTAACTATTGCTCTGAGGAAAAAATGAATAGAAATGAACTTGTTTAGAATAAAATTTTCTATAAGATACAGCTGGTCCGGAACGCTCATTTTCAAATGTTATTGTTTTTTATGGAAAAATGTAAAAAAAGTAATCTCGAAAATTAACACTTTGTTAATAAAGTAAAATTCATTGGATATTTTTGAAAATCCGTATTTAGTAACTTCTTTTGGTAACTAAACAATATGACAAACCAGATCACCGTAGGTTTCATACTCATTGATTAATTAAATAAACGAGTAGAAAAAGGAATGTTTTGTCTTTCAAACTGGGAGAGTACAAGAGTGTTCTCAATTTTTTTATACATAGTTTAACCCTAAAACATTCTTTTCCAATAATTGTCCCGATGATTCTTGCAAATCGACGAACATAAAAGTGAGGACATAAGCGTTGCCTGCGGTAAAAATTGGTTAAGTTATTACACTTACATACAAACACAACGCAGACCTAACTCATTAACCTCCTCGCGATGTTGCCATATTTCGGAGGTAAGATGGGTGTATGAATGGATGGAGGCTAGTACTGCATACACTTAACTAATTGCTGTATATGTGTATAAAATTGAACTGCCCTCTACCGGTCAACGTTTCAACTTCACAGTATCAGGCTACGTGTGTATGGTACGAACTCGCCTCCATCTAAAATTTTGCGAGGCGCCTCCTAACGGTCCATTCTTGCAATTGAATTTGATATACATGGGGGTTCCTACTCGCCTCCGGAATTACGTTCTCGCCTCCGGTTTTGGAGGCGGATACTCCCAACGTATATGTACATACGGAGGCGAGTACGATACGTAGGCATATATATATATTTATATATATATAAATATATATATGTATAAGGTAATTCGCTGTCACTTCACAGTTAAAACATATGACGACCCGACTTCACTCACTACTTGTGAATTTTATTTAATATATCTTTGCATTTCTCTGTTGAGGGGACCCCATGTAATCCAAATTTCAGAGAGGGGAAAGCAATTTTTGCAAAAAAAATCGTATTTATAAAGTTTTAAACTTTAAATGCGTTGTTTACTTCACGGGATATATAATTTTGTTAGTTACTTGTCGGACGAAGTCACTTCAATGCAGTGTTGCATCATTTGTGAAGTCGGAAGGTACGATTAATCTCCCATTTCTGATATATGCGGTTGGCTCATATTCTTCTATGATTACATTATATTACTATTATTATTAGCCAAAATCCACAAAACCATATTGTTTGCTGATGATGACAGCATTGTAGTTAACTGAAGTTATCTAATGTATTTTATCATTATGTAAGCTAACTTATTTAATTCATTCCCTCGAAACATTTTCAATGAAACATTGAAAATGTATGAAGCAAAAATTAACGCTTATTTTGTTTTTGTTTTGATTTTAGGGCGTCGAAATCATGGTCATAATAAAACAAAATTTTGTATTTTAGGTTAACTCTATCTAGAAAGGTAAGTACTTTCTTTGTATATTACTGAACTTTCTTATCTAACATCTCTCATTTCCAGATGCAGTTATTCCCGGAACATTTGATATCCACCGCATTCCACCAAAAGGCGTTGCATATTGTTATGTCTCACTAATTTAATCGGTATTAATAATACAAAGCAATTTCTAATAAGAAATATATTTAAAGTATCAAAATATTACATGCATGTACCTACGTCTATTATTGTATATACAGTGTGTTCAAAAGATCGTGTTAAGCATGGGGATCTCGGAAACGGTAAAAGATACAGATTCGGTTAAATAGGAGAAAATGTTTAGCACAAAAATATTGGTTAACCGGTACATTAACAGTTTAAAAAATTTTATTCGTTTGGGCCCCCTAGCGGAAAAACTAATATTTTCCGTTTTCATCTTTTCCCTGTAACTTTTTTATTTGAAGAGATACCTTCAAAATTCTTTGGCATTATTAAGGCACTTTTTTACGCAGATTAATAATAATTTATTAGATTTTCAATACCTTTCCAAGTTTCGGTGTTATAACCCAAACTTATATTTTTTTAAATGTAAATAATAGGCGGCTATGGCATCAATCGAAAGTGCTCTCAATTTCCTTTCTAACGATACCATGGTTGAGATAATTTTGAAGGTATCTCTTCAAATAAAAAAGTTACAGGGAAAAGATGAAAACGGAAAATATTAGTTTTTCCGCTATGGGGCCCAAACGAATAAAATTTTTTAAACTGTTAATGTACCGGTTAACCAATATTTTTGTGCTAAACATTTTCTCCCATTTAACCGAATCTGTATCTTTTACCGTTTCCGAGATCCCCATGCTTAACACGATCTTTTGGACATACTATATATTATATAAGTGCAGTGATTATAAAACTTAACCAAAAACAAGATAGTTTTTAAGTAGTTGTTTTTATTAAATGTTGCAATTTGGATTTCACTTGCGCTGGAGATCTTTTACTACCCATCTTCTTAATGAAATCTAAGATTTGTTGTTGGGGTGGATAGATTTTCTTTTTAATAAAATTTCCGAACGTTTTTGATACCTGATTTATTTCATGTGCGGTCCAACCTAAAAAAATGCACCTTAAAAGTTTGAATTCATTAAAAAGGAAACCTTACTCTTTTTTTGTATTTTTTGTTTTTTTGGTTCTTGCTCATCTGTATCAGAGTCCAAATCTAAAAGTCAATTTTATAAAAATTCAAAACCAAAAAATACCTTGTTTGTAAGAAATTGTATGATTTGTTACATAATAAGGAATACCTATTCAAAATCAATGCTGTTACGTTGTTAAATGTACTACACAGTACCGCGTCACTGACACGGAATCTTTTTTGATAGTACTATCTAATAATAAAATGTATGATCACCTTGAACACTGCAAGTTCGATTATGATGTAAATTAATAGATCTGGGAGCTAGATCTTTTTTTGGTGTCGCTCCCTCGTCAATGAAGTCCGAAGCAGTGGACGTGGAAGCAATGTCTTTTTTTGATTTCTCTCCCTCATCAATAAAATCCGTAGCAGCGGATGTAGAACCAATACTTTCTTTTCTTGGCATGGCACGTTCTAAAAAGTTATAAAAATTGCACTGAAAGAATGTTGCTAAACATTTTGTTACCTTCAACATTTTCTTCAGCGTATTCTGTATTTTCGTCAAATTCGATCTGAGATAATGTTTTTCCCTTAAATTCTGTAGGTAAGGATCCTTTTTCCATCATAAGTAGCAACTTTGAAACTTTGGCAGTTTGGTATATGTCCACTGGCAGTCTACATACGGTAAGTATATAATACAATACAACAAATTTTAAATGTCCACTTACTCATAGAAATCGGCATGCGTTTTTTCCGTGTGACCCATAAATTTGGAAAACTGAGCAATATCTTCTTTTGACAGATTTAATATTTGTGTGACCGTGGCAATGTGTTTTCTTAATTTGTTACTAGAAATTGCTTCGGGATACTCTAATTTAATTTTGCTACAAAGGTATCTTATTGCAACGTCCCCCTGACCCCACTTAATTTTGCTCTGTGGTATCGCAAAAACATACTCATTTTTCTCCAACATGTATTTTTTACGGTGTTCTAATAATACGTTAATATATTTTTCTAATGTTTCCGGCAATAATATTACAACTTGCCTTGAACCTTTGCCACTATTTACTATTCGTCTATACTTAGCTGTCAAAGCCTTTTCTGATTCTGTTAGGGCAGATTCAAAATCTTTCATACTAGATTTATTTTGTCTCATATAATCTTGTATTTTCAGATACTGTACATCACCAATACGTCTGCGATTAAAAAGTATTAAAAGTGACAGGGAACATTGAACTAATAGTTTATACGTATGTATGTCATCGATATGATTTACAAACTTTTTAACGCAATCTTCTGCCATTTTCAGTACTTCTTCTCTAAATATCTTTATATCATTGACTAGCGGCACAAGAAGCGGTTTATTCCATTTTTTTTCTTGCAAATCTTTATTTGCCAAACTCGAAATTTCAGTGTTCCATCTTGATATTAGTAGCTTTTTAAATTTTTTAATTTCTTGTAATAACAGTTCGGTTTCGCTTTCTGATTGGCAAGTAAATCCAGGGCTTTCCTTTAATACGAGATGAGTACATTCGTCACATATGTCTTTTAAATATGTTCCTAAATGCATGGCAAGGCTTGGAGCTTTGAATAATTTATTTGTTGGGTTATACCCAGTAATTTTTCTCGTAGCTGCCAAAAAATGATCGAAATTTTTTGGTTTTAAAATATCTTTTAAACAGCATTTAGAATCGTTAACAATTTCCCGATACGCAATTAGTAGACGCGAAAGTTCACGCATCCTAGAGCTGCAAGCATACTCTTTGCGTTCCCTTTTATGTTTTTTTAGATACGATTCTCCAAAATTGGCGATAAGAAGATCTTTCTTTGCTACTAAGGATATCTCATCTCCTTTCATGATAGAAAATACCTAAAAAAATAGATTGGGGAATAAATAGACACTTACTTTTTTAATTTTGCAAATGGGTGAGTATAAGTACTTAATAAATAAAAGCTAAGGGGTTAAGATCTAAAGGCGTTTCCATAAAGAAAGTAGATTGAGGGATAGACGAATTGACAAAGAGTGCACAATAGCTATTTTTAAAATTTTTTTTGAAAAATGCACGCAAGTATGAAAAATTATGTAAGAAGGTTAAAAAGGATTCCTATATATTCAGTTTTGCAATGCAATAAGTAATACTTACCAGTTCCTTTACATTTAATCTTGAGATTACGTTTGTGGTATCCATGGCACACGCAATTGCAGTTTGGGAGTTAGTAATATAATAATTTCGTCCATTGCTAGATAACTCTTTTCTACTGTTTTGCATAACACATAACTTCGAGTGGCGTTTTAGATACTCTTTTTGAAAAACTCCTTTGCAGTATATGCAAGGGTAATATGTCAAAGAATTTTTTTTTATTGTTTCGCGATATGGACAAATCACGCCTTCAATATACTGATCAAAGTTAGTATGATTCCTAAACAAACTGAAAGCTTGTCTCCTTTCTTTACTTTTGCGAGGATACTGTAACATCTTTTTGACTTCGTTTTCATCTCTATGGTGCGATTCCAAATGCCTTGCGAAATTTTTTGTGGCAATTTTGCATTTGCAATATTTACATAAAACTTGCTTTTTGTCATTGACATTTCTTTTCTGAAAATAAAAATTGTAAAATTGAAGATTTATCTACATAAAATTAAAAAGTAAATCTATTAAATAGAAAAAAATGCCACTGACTTGTTTTATTAGTTCATCAATGTTGAACACTCGACTTTGCGCTTCTGTATTGGAAAAATGATCGTTTTTACTTTTCGCTTTATCCTTTATTTTTTCCTTAGATTTTCTAGGAATAAAATTTTCTTTTTCAGTTTCCATTATGTCTATAACTTCGTTTTCGGAATCCTTGGTAGCAGAAGACTGGGAGCTTTCTGACGTCAAATCACTTTCACACACGTAGTCTCTATCTCGGCTATCATCGGAATCTCCAGAAATATATTTATGCTGATCAGTGTTTGTGTTTATATTGTTTTCTATTGGGTGCAATTGCAAAGAGGCAGATAAAGTCTTAAAGAAAATCAATTTAAGAGTAAACATCTAAATGCGTCCAATTTAAAAAATTATACCAAAAAAAAAATGTGCATAGCACATACTTACATCATATTCCGTTCCTGTGTTAATATCGACTATATTGTTCGTTACCAAAATAGAATCTCCAGAAATGTAGTTAAAATGATCAGTGTTTGGAGTTATATTGTTTTGCATTGAGTGACATTGGGATAAACCAAGCAAAATCTTAAAGCAGTTTAAGAGTAAACTTCTCAATACGTCGAATTGGAATATTTTTCTTTAGTCCAGGAATAATAGGTTGAAACTCGGACATGAAAGGAGATAAGCCAAATAAGCTTTAAATTATGACATTTTAGTAATTTTGTTATCAGGAGTCAGTTTTAGTGAAAAATATTTAAATAAAAAAAAAGAAATGTCCTAATTTGAACCTTATCATGAAACTCCACTTGGATTTTCGGGGAGTTTTTTCTCTATATTCTGTACTGCATCAGAACACTGTATTGCAATTTTAAGCTTATCCCCTCTCCTGTTCGGATGCACCTTCAAACTTTTGCAATGTTCCTGGGCTAACATACAAATTAATTGTATATACTCACATCAAATTCGGTTCCTGTGTTAGTATCGAGGTTTGTATCAACAATATTGTTTGTTCCAAAACTAGGATTTATAGTATCGGATTTATCTATATCACCAGTAAGTATTGGAGATATTTTATTTGTCTTACTTCGACGCCGGTCAATGCAAAATGGCGATGAATGCTTTAGGTAATTAATTTTTAATTGAAATAACTGGTATTTTATACGATATATATTCATTACCTCACTAGTTAGGGTATTGCTAGGTGTTCCGGATATAAGACTGCAATCACAGCTTTTGAGTTCACAACAGCCACTTTGTATGCGAATTTCGTCATTGATTTCAGGTATATTAACGTCAGCTCCTAATTCTGGAGAAGAATTACTTTTATTATCATTTGTTGTTTGTGTATTTTTAGGTGGTTCTAAAGGAACAGCAGCATCTAAATGAAAACTATTTTCGATCCAATCCTACAATAACAACAAGTTTTTAATAAAAAATTGTTCAAAACCCACACGTAGGTGTTACAGTCACTCACATTGTCAGAAAACTGACAATGTGCAATTTAGACAAAATTGTTGTGAAAACAGTTAATACGCTAAAGGTGGGTTTATAGCTATCCGTTTGTACGTCACCGTTGGTCCGTTACCCAATAAGGAGACAGTAAATTTTTAAATTTAAAATTTTACTGTCTCCTTATTGGTTAACGGACCAACGGAGACGTACAAACGGATAGCTATAAATCCACCTTAAGGGAGTTAGCGCGAATACTACACCAACCGCTTAACAAAATAATATCAACTTACTCTAGTTATATCCATTTTGTCAGTATTCCTAGCCGGTGGTAAATATTGCTTAGAAATTCCCTAAAAAAACAAGTGAAGTTAATGAACAAACAATCAATACCATTAACAAGTGGGTAAGTAGGTATGAAGATGGTTAAAAGATAAAAATGAAATTAAAACAAGTGGTAAAGTTTCCGCACATATAAATCCACCTTAAGGGAGTTAGCGCGAATACTACACCAACCGCTTAACAAAATAATATCAACTTACTCTAGTTATTTCCATTTTGTCAGTATTCCTAGCCGGTGGTAAATATTGCTTAGAAATTCCCTAAAAAAACAAGTGAAGTTAATGAACAAACAATCAATACCATTAACAAGTGGGTAAGTAGGTATGAAGATGGTTAAAAGATAAAAATGAAATTAAAACAAGTGGTAAAGTTTCCGCACATGTACCAACAACGATAGCGCATTTTTCATACGTGGTTTGGTACCTTGCCCCGGCAGATAAAAAGATAGCAATGCTCATGCGCATTTCAAATTTTTGTTAACGACATTAATTTTGCTTTTAATCGAGGTGCCTATAGACAAAATATCATTGAAGTACCTTAATAAATAAAAAAGTTAGCAATGGGCATGCGCATTTCAATTTTTTTAGCGGCATTAATTTTGCTTTTATTTCAGGTGCCTACATCCAAAATATCATTGAAGTACCTTAATAAATAAAAAAGTTTGCATTGCGCATGCGCATTTGAAATTTTTGTTAACGGCATTAATTTTGATTTTATTCCAGGTAACTATACACAAAATTATATTAAAATACGTTCATTAATAAAAAAAAAGTTAGCATTGCGCATGCATATATGGTAAATAAATATAGTTGTTCCAAATGATGACCAACATCGGAACAGCACAAAATTTAGTTTGGGCCCATCGAACCAGTGCGTTTTGCCGTTTCCATAGTGAAATTAGTGAATACATGATACTTTTTATCAAATTTGCGCATCATCTCGATGTTTTTTGGCAAACTCATTTTTTGCTGCACTAATCGGATACTACTATCTATCAAACGAGACATTAACGAGTTTTCTAGCACTTTCCAGTGCTGAGATCTCGGCCTTCTCTTGGACGGACGGACGGAAAAACGCCCGTAATAGCGCATTTTTTTTTCTTTGAAAAATGCGCTAAAAAGTACATTGAAAAATAGACGAACAGATGGACAAAGTGCGGCCATAAATGGGTACCTAAGTGTGAAAAAAGGCTAAGGGATTAAGACAACAAAAGACCTATCCGGTTAGACAAAGCGTGAATAATATAGCTTCTTTTAAAATTTGTTTATGTAAAATGAGTAAGTGGTAGGACTTGTACATTTAAATGGAAATCGCGCCAGCACCACATGAGCCTTCTAATTGCTTTATCTATTTCAATAAAACGATTTATCACTTGAAAGAAGAGATTATGTAGATGATAATAAGGCTAATTAATAGACACATAATGTAAACAATGTCTTATAATAAGCAAACATAAAATTTTTTTACGCGATTCTTTGACCACAATTATTTACCTATTTCAAACCAAACTCAAAATGAACCGCAAGTTACCTTAAGATCTCCTACAGACTCTCCTCTTGCAAATGGTGTATCATGTATTAAGATACCTTGAGGTTTTCGAAAAATTTGCTCATTTTTTTGCAGGCGAGATTTCCCATTTAAATGAGAGAACTCGACCACTACTCAACGCCCACCTTAAAATTAAAATTAAAAGACATGAAACAAAATATAACCAAAAACTTAAAATTAGATAGCTGACATCTCAAAAACTTACCATTGCTTTGTGAAAAATTTTCTTCGTTCTGGAATTCATGTTTTCAAAGACCAAATGTATAAAAAAGAACGTAAAAATGTGCACGTCTTCACTTCACGCTAACGGTTTGAGAATAAATGCGTCGTTGTCAAATGTCCTACTCTCGATGAAGTGACTTCACGGAAAATTTCGCTAAATACGCGTTGAAGTGATTTCGTGTGGTCCGTAATTTATCATATATACGACAGTGGCGACTTCGATATACGCCACAACTAAAAAAGATTTTTTTTGGTACCAAGTTGGCGATGTGACTTCAAACTTCGGTTTCGGCAAATGTCGGATAATGGTGTTTAGTGACGTCATGGCGCGAAAACAACGCAAAACGTTGTCACTTCACATTCTTGAAGTGACAACGTCGTATATGAAGTGACTTCGAATTGTGCGTGCCTATTTTTGAAGTGACAACGTATTGTGTGTGTGTGTGTGTGTATATATATATATATATATATATATATATATATATATATATATATTATATATATATATATAGACACACACACACACACACCACACAACACACACACACACCGTAAGTGAAAGGATTTTCGTCTTGTTTTCTTTGAACAAAAGTGCTTAGGAATTTGGTGAAGACGATATCAAAACGAGATTTACCCCCTGGTACGGTAGGTGGAAGACGTTTGAGCCTTTTTTAAGATAGAGCGATTTTGAGCGGACGACGCTATTAGAACGGTTCGATTAATAGGTAAAGTAACAGGGTGGTTACAGCCTAATACAGTTTGGCATATAGATTCTAGCATAAACTAAAAAGATATGGGATTTGCATAAACGATGCCCATTGATGGTTTTTCTCGGCACATAATATGGTTACATGCAGATCGGACTTCTAGTAACCCTAAAGTGATAGCAGGGTTTCTGCAATTATGCGGTTAGGAGGATGTCCACACACAATTCGGGCTGATATGGGCACGGAGAATGGTACAGTAGAGGCAATACAAACTGTAAAAAGAAAACTGTAATTAACCTTTCACAAGACTAAGCGGTCTAAAAATCTTTAAATAAGTTGAGTAGGTAAGTAGTAAGTAAATCAGGTGACCTGAAACTCAGCAAGGGTTAATTTGGGAAAAGACCTTTCTATATCATTAACCCCTATGTATACACGGTGTCCATTTTTTGAGTGCCACTATGGGGATCTCACTTATCTTAAGAAATAGAAACTTGGTTAAATGGAGGCAAAGTTGCACATTTCCGTCACGTCGACGATGGTGTATTGTCACTTAGTGCCGACAGGGAGCCACGAAGTGAAGATCCCATATCTTCTTGCATTGACTCCGACTCTTACTGTCGGCGCAAAAAGTATGTGCACCCGAGTTTAAAAATTAATAAAAAAATAACCAGTTGACCTATTTTAATGGGAGGGGTATCAAATTAAAGCTCGTTTAATTTTGCGTTGATTAGGCCTAAAGGATATTTTTTCCATAAAATTTAACTACATTTAGAACGCATAACGTGCAAAAAATGCCCCTTTTTTGTGATATTTCTCGTTCCGGTCAAGTTTGGAGTCGAATAAAACGAAAACCACCCCATGAAATCGCTTCAAATTTTAGTATGCTATGCATTGAACATTTCTAAATAAGTAGTTAAAATTTTAGTACGAAAATCGAATTTTTATAGAGGCTAGAGCCATTTATGTAAGTTCCGATTTTATCAGAAACGGGAGGTCGCACGAACTTTTAAAGTACATCGATATCAGCGACTTATTGTCAATAAAACAATAGATGTACTTTTAAAACTATAATTTGATTAAGTTTGTCATAAACATTTTTTTATTTTTTGGAGTTTTTCGCTTTGCATGTCGCGTGTATCCAGATGCATGTGAAGGATGCGCGCGAACTCCCAGTCCATTAGAATGTTACTCGCCCATGCATCTTTCTTATACGAAAGTAGGCGATCATTTTTCACAAGGCTCAATGCCAAAAAAATGTTATCAACAAAAATTTGAAAATACCAGGCAAAATGTTTTGAGAAAGGAGAGTAAAACATTAATTATATGAGAAAGTTTAATTATACATAGGTAATAAACATTTTTCACAAATTATAATGGTCTTACAATCAATTTATAATTATATACATGGGCAGTGGAAATTACAATAAAATAAAAATACTAGCATTTCCTCAGCAAGTCTAAAAACTATCGTCTAAGGTTCCATCTAAATCTATCTCACTTTCTTCGGAATCAGAATCGCCGACGTTGATAATAAGGGGTTGCACTTCAATCATATCTTCAATTAAATGATCTTTCTCCCAATAATAGTTTTCAATTTTTTGGGCATGTTTAATGCAGCTTTTCCATAATTCGGGAGTTACTGACCTCAGTGTTTCTTGGCAAAGCTTCATCATTACATCCATGCTAATTCCATTTTTGGCCGCGTTTTCTTTATTAATTTTTGCTATGCGGTTTTTCACGTACGCCCATATCAATTCAATTGCGTTTAATTCACAATGCGCCACGGGTAACCATACTAATTGTACGTCTGGTCGAATTTCCTTGAGAATAATTTCTAACTTCTTTTGTGAAGTTGTAATGTACGAGTAGGGTAGTAGGGCTGGTTCTGGACCAGCCACCTGGTGGTGTCCTTGGAAAGTAGGTCAAGGTGACAGCCACCTGGTGGTGACCTTGGAAAGTAGGTCAAGGTGAGGTTCAAAGGTCGCCTGTCACGTGGCGGTGACCTTGGAAAGTAGGTCAAGGATGATGGCCACTGCCCCCCCCCCCAAGTGTCATATTTCAAATTCAAGGTTAACTTTTTGTGTGTCATATTTCATTTCCAAGGTCAAGTGTCATATTTCATTTTCTAAATCACTTTTTGTAGTGTAGTATTTAATTTTCAAGGTCAATTTTTTGGTTTCATATTTCCTTTCCAACAGTCTCTCCTATCCCCCTCCAATTGATTACCATGCTGAGGTTTCAGATTCAAGGATTCTCATTTATTATAAAATGTTTCTTTGTGAAGCTTTGAATTCATTAAGTAAAGTTTCATCATCACTACTAAACGTCTAAACATGAGCCACGTACACGTACGACGCATATCTCGAGGTGGCATGATTGGAAGGATTTCATCTCGAAAAGATATGAAGAGGAGAGTAGACAGTTTTTTATCTCGAGAAGATAGGAAGAGGAGACTGGAAACGTTAGTTCAACGTATTAGTGTTAAAGTTAGACTTGGAAGTATTTGTTACCAATCGAAAAATGGCTAAACTGATGATAAACGATGAAGTGACGCAAATCAACGTGAATTTGCCGATAGATAGTGAAATTCAAGAAAGAATGGGAAAACTAGCGATAAAGTAAAGTGCGTGTGGTGCTGGGGAAATAATAGTAATAATAATCATAATAATGTTAGATTTTTGTTTTGTTTTTTATTTGTGCTTTTCAGTTTATAGCTTGCTTATTTTAAAAATTAATTAGAAATTTGTTCGATATTATTGAATGGTTGAAATATATATCGTAATAAATGGACTCTTATAAATTGCCACTGTTGTTATTGTGTGTTTTTACTGAGCATGAAGATACGTGCAATAAAAAAAAAAAGGAGTTGCCATTTTTATTTTAATACCTTAAGACGTAATTCAAATGTATGCTCTATTGTCTTAGATTCTATTGACTTTGAATTTGCATGATGGTTGAAATATATGGCAATAAATGATCTTTTAGTTATTCACTTCTATTCTTGTGTGTACACCTGTACCTGCAAGAGCAAATAGGTATCATGGAAACGCATGTTTTAGCATAGCAATTTACTAGGTTCTACCAAGTTAAGTGTCGTTGGATAAACCGAGCGCGACTTTCATCATACCGTTCAATTTCTTTATCACTTTCCATAGTAATCAATGTATTCCAATTGAAGTGACACTTTGAATGAATACAGAACACTCAGATCACGTTTTCAAATACACCAACTTGAATTCCCCTTTGCTGTCCCTGAAATGAAAGTGATGCGTGAGTGGAGATATGCACACTCTACTATGAATAATAAAAACAGTACAATTAATTATTTATTTAATATATACTTACTAGTATTATTATTCTACAAAAATATACAAGAACTTATTAAATATCTACCCTAAAATTACAAAAATTAAAATTAGCCTTAAAATTAACCGCGCACACCCACACACTCACACGTTTAAGTCATTTATTGCCCTTATAAATTCTTCGGCACCTCTGAGATTCGTACGTGCTACCTCCAAGTTGCCGTTCGTCTCAAATAGGTCGACCTGCAATTGGGCCGCCCTATTTGAGAGCATGGCTTCACTTTGTGTGTAGCACGCATGTAGCTCCTGCAGCCACTGCAGCGTGTTTTGTTTTAGCTCCCGCAGATTGGTTGGCGGGAGCATCATCATCTGCGGTGGCTGTGGTGGCTGCTGCTGCTGCTGTCTCGGCTGCGGCTGCTGTCTCAGCTGCTGCTGCTGCCGGCGTCCACTTGCAGTACGCCGATGTTGCTGCGATGGTGGTGGTGGCAGAAGCTGTTGAGGGGCCTGCACAGGTGGTTGCGTGGGTGGTGGTAGTGCCGGCTGCTGCTGCTGGCGTGACCTCACTTCTTGCACCCTTGCAGCTTTTTGAGGGGGGCCTGGGCGGCATTTGTCTCCTCCCGACGCAGCATATTTAAGTCTTTGCCGCCAAACTGCTGAGGTGGCCGCTGCACCACGGCGGCTGCTTCAGTTGGCGGCGTAATGCTATTAAAAATTAAATTACGTATTAGTAATGTTTGTGCAATAATGTAATCACAAAGCAAAGATACGATTTAATATGTACTTACTTTTCAAAAAGTGGCCCAAACTCGTCCTCAATGTCACTATCTGCCAGCGAAATTACGGGCGTTGGGGGTCGTGGTTCCGATGTTGTCGCTACACTCCTCGGCTGTTGCGATGCCTGCAGGAGAATATCCTGCAGGATGCTTATAGGTGGATTCGGAGCACCAGCGGAATTGTTGTTAGTTGATAGTTTCATTTTGTGGTAATTATTAACTTGTCACACTCGCGTAAGAACTGAATACTAAAAACGAAATGCTGCGCGTATATATGTCCATAGGTTTGCGAACGTTAGCAACGCGGGAGGAAATGATAAGGGTAATGAACTAGCACAAGCCGATGTGACCAGTTGACATAAGCAGAGAGCTGATGGGAAAATAAACTTGTGAAGTCAAGGGTTCCTCGTTTCTGCTAACGAGATCCGAGAATGACACTGATTAATATCTGAGACGTTCGAAATATTAGACGACAAGCGGATGTGGTCAACTCACATAAGCAAAGTTATTGAACTGTCACATTAGCAGGTGTATTAGACGATTGAAGGTCAAATATTTTAGATAATTAAATTGGGTGGTTTTCGGAAAACTAGATTTTGGGTGTCATATTTCATTTTCGAGACCACTTTTTTTTG